TTAATTAATCAGGCATTGGAAGAAGACGAAGAAGCCCGGGAAATAGAATTCCAAATTTGGACAACGGCATTCCAAATTCCAGCAGACGCAACGCCAATGCCGGCGGCTTGTGGGTATCCCAGTTTGGAATCCAGTTTCACTTCCACCGACTATACCTCAAGGGATCCATGGCTGCTATTATTTCAGTCCTTCAACACTCATATTGTCTTGAAAATATAATCTTCCATTTTGTGTCTTCCTTTGCCGCTGACACCTCCCACCTCAACCTCACAATCGCAAAGTCATTTCCTTACCTTCAGTTCAACAGCTATCCTTTCGATGATTCGCCGGTGGCGGGGTTGATCTCAACTTCTATTCGTGCTGCACTGGATTGTCCACTCAACTATGCCCGCAACTATCTGGCTGATCTGCTCCCTAAACTTGCTGCAACTCCTCTAGGCAATGAAGCAGTTTTAGCAGCACTTGAGTACTGCAACGCAAACTTCACCTCCTATTTCACGCCCACATTCTGGTCCAACCCTTCTCTTTCCTTAACCTTCTCTTTCACCGCCAGCACTTCCACCGATTATACTTCAACCACAAGCATCTCATGCACCTGTCCAACAGCCACCACGAACACCAGCCCTAGTAATAAAGGCACCCGCTCCCGCACCCACAATACCCCCACCAATTCCACCACCTACAGCACCAATGCCAGTACCACCACCACCTATTGTGTCACCAGCCCCAACACCAGATTTGGTTCTCCCACCTATCAAGAATGACAGAATCGTGGTCTTGGGTTGATTTGGGGATTTTTTTTAGGGCTTTTGGGTTTTTTGGACGATTTTGGGGTTGGAGACGTATTATTTACGGTTGTTAGAGGTTTTAATTTGGTTAAAGTGTATTAATATAATTTGTTCCCTTTTTACGGTAACTGGCCTAATTTTCCCATTTATTATTGTGCCCCTGTTTGACATTCATTCTCTTCCTCATTTTTTTTCTCTTTCTTTATTTCAACCACAAATTTTATCAATAAAATAATATTACACGTAAACTCAAAAATTCTTCTTAGTTTTTAACCACATATTCCTCCCATCAATCAATATTCCAGAATTTATTCTTCTCTAAAATGGGTATCTCCTCCTTTGCCACCTCTGCACCGCCCTACAGAACCCTCCGCCGTGAACGACAGTGCCATCGCTTACACAATGCCGGAAATTTCTCCTGACCCATCAAGTTCCTGTGTGATGAACGGCTCAAAATCCAAAAGCAAAAAGAAAAAGAAGACCCCAGTTACGGAACCCTCATCTCCATCCTCATCAGTATCATCATCAAATAATTTTTCTTGTACATTGAAGCAAAAAGGTCTCGAGATTTTGAAGAAACCCAAAAGAATTCGAGTTGGGTCGACCTCAAATCGGAAGAGTACGAATTTCAGAAACGTTACCGTTGACGCCCTTGCTCTTCCTCTGGGAATGTCCATTGCTGCTGTCGTTTCCCAGGTACTTATTAAAAAGAATAGATTTTTCTAATGATTGATATTTATGAAAAGTTTTGTTATTTTTGGAAGGATTTTGTGCATTTTTTTTGAAAAACTATGGATTTTTATGAGTATAAAATCTGATATTTTGATTAGAAGACTCTACATGTGTTATTTTTATAATTTGTGTGGAGAAGTTTGGATCTTTAGTGGGATAGTTATAGGGGCGGACGCAGACCATAAAAGTTAGGGGGCACAATCGAACTTACAAAAGAGTTAGAAGAAATTTTACAATAAAAAAATTACATCCAAAAAAATCATACTCCATATAATTTTACATCCGAAAATTTACATGGGATATGACTTTTTTGGATGTAAAATTTTGAAAAATTTTGATATCATATTCCATATAAAATTTCCTATTAAAATGATGAAAATTACATTGAGAAATTTGTATTGCAAAAATAATAAATGTTAATGAAATAATTGAATTTTTTTAAAAAAAATGCGAGTTAAACGTCTTTCTTTAAAACTCACGTTTAACATATTTTTAACTATTTCCAATATCTGCNTTTTGAGACTCACGTTTAACGTATTTTTAATTTTTTTCGATATCTGTTTGGACTCTTCGATATGCTCATTATATAGTTCTCGAAATAAGTTTTGAAATGACATAAGCAATTTGTAGATTCGATTAGCGTACGATCGTCGGAGAATTTTTAAAATTAGCATGTTATCGAAATTCAAATTTATTGTGATTTTGCCATTGTTTGGTGGAGATTAAAATCAAAATTTTAGTAAATTTTGATAAAAGTTAAAATAGTTATGGATTCTATGAAATATGTTATTAAAATTAATTGTTAACTTTGATTTAGATTAAAATTTAGATTTCAATCGATTCCAAACACGATTTTATAAAAAAAAAAATAATAATAATTCTCAAAAGTTGGGGGGACCCCCCTAGGTCCGCCCATGGATAGTTAGATCTTTTTAGCGTGAAAAAGGAGATTGAAATTTTTTTAGGAAGATGGCATTGCAGATTTTTTAGTTATTGTGCACATGGGATCTACTGTTAAATTTCCTATATATATATATATATATATTCGAATATGCCTGGTGATATGTGTAGGTAACCTTCGAGTTGATGATAAATTATTGAATTCTTGTGGGAAAGATAGGGTTTTGTTGTAGAAAAGATGTTTTTGGATCTGTTGACCATTGCTTAGGCAAAAAGTTAGTAAAGTAATGATTTTTTGACCTTTTCATTGTGTGCAAGATTATTAAAATACTTGCACTTCAAAATGTGTTTTTACGAGAAGGTTGTTAACGTATTAATAATACTTTTCTTTTGAAGTCTGTGATAATGTTTTCCCAAAAAGTAAATGAAGAATGTGAGTTATTAATTATGCTTATCATGGAAAGTTTGATTGTGAAATTACTTTGTCAAGAGACAGTATGTATAGTCACTTTCTTATAATTAATATTGGGAGATGATGAATTTGTTAATTGTTAGCAATATTAATTTAAATTCTGAGTGCTTACATTGATCAATTTTTATATTCATGTGGAGCAAAAGAACGTGTACTATCATTTAGTAGTTGTCATTTTGAGTAAATAAATTTGTGCTTGTTGAGCCTGTTCTCATATTATGTTTTTTAGAAATTTTCTGAAGTGAACAAGAAAGGTATAATTTCTTGAGGCATATTCCTCTAACATAGAAGTGAACAAGAAATGCATGATTTCTTCAGGCATCTTCGTGTAACATAGTAGTGAACAAGAAGGAACTAGATAATGTTTTCTTAGCGTTTTAACTTTTATGAAAGAAAGACTAGTAATAAATAATAATTATGTGTAGAACTTACTAGGGTGGCATATGCCATTGGTTTAAAATGGAATCATGTAGTATTCATGCATATGGACTATCTATTGCTTTGCCATTATGCACAAAATATTGAAAAATTTATTTTCGATTTAACTTCCTAGCTTCAGTTATGACTAATTGACTACTTTTTTCATTCATGAGTCTAAATAGTAAGTTCTAGCTCATCTTTGACCTTCTGTATTGTTTGGTGTTAAGCATATATCTATAACTGCTATAGCTATATATTTTCCTTTTCTTCATTCTCCATAAACCATGCAGTCCATGGATTTTGTCGTACTCTATTTGTTTTATTCACTTTCGCAATAACAATTGATGTCGATCGTGGAAAAAATAAAAGATATCCGTTTATCATAACATGGCGAATTTCTGTTTATTTTAGGTTTTGGACAGGAAAAATGCATCCGGAGATAAGATATCAGTGGATTATCTGACTGGGGTACTTTCTAGATCCTTCTTTTGTATACTTATGTTGCGATTTTTTCTCATTGATTCATGCATCCATTTATTTCCTTGGAATTAGTTACTCATCACAAGGTTGTTGCACGTTTAGCTGAACTTTAGCGCATGCCTCACTGCCTATTTATTGAGCTAAAAGACTAGGAGCATATTTGGTCAATCTATAACAAAAAAAGTAGGAAGTATTTTTCCAGGAAAGTAAATAAATACTTACTCTTAAAACAGTTAGTTTTTTAACTAATATTTACTTATACTTTTTTGACCGGGAGGTTACACTCTTACAGGACAATTAAAAAACAATTCAAGTCTTAGGGCTGCTTGAAATCTCTATGGCTTTTTGCGCAATAGACCTCCAATGGTTCGGTGGCTCGCATAATGGCTGATGGCTTAACGATAAATTTGCATCTCTAATGATTGTGCCGTGTCTATGAGAGCTCTCAAGTCTCAACTAGAGGTTGCAATGTACTCATGAGCTCCAGAACCTGATACGTAAATCATCAAAGACACATTAGCACAACAGACTCTTGTTCAACAGAATTTGAAATGAAACCTCCCTTCAATGGATTGATGGGGTGATATAAGTGAGATTCAATGTAGATAAACGTGGGATTCAGACAGTCCATGCACAGAAGCAAATCTAATCCCTAAAACCATGATCTTTGCTGTGTTTGTAATACCAATTCCAGCAGTACCAAGTAAATCACAAACAGAATTTTGTACGATATACAGTGTGTAAATAGAAATGTCCTTGAGTTAGCTCATATTTGGTCTCCATTAAATTAAAATTCATTTTTCTTTCTCATTAACCACACATTCTCCAATAAAATAATATTACACATAAATGTAAAAACTTTTCCTCCTTTTTTTAACCACATATTCTCTAAAAAATTACTATTCCCCTCATTATAATTTGGAAAAATAGAGCCCAAACAAGAGCTAAGTAATGATGAAAACCAATTATTTTCTGGGAGGTCGGCAATAAGCTTACAACCATTCGATGTTCAATCTTTCTGAAATACAGTGGTAATATGAACAAGCATAGAAAATTGATAGTGTTAAAAATTACGACCAAAATTAAGAGCGAACAATGTTGTTTTGTTTCCTGTGAATACAAGGTGGGAAGAAGTAATCAAAATTTTCATTTTTTTGCGCTATTTCCTCTACTAGTCTGCAACTTCATTTCTTTGAGAAGTTCCTATTTACCACAAAAGCACGTGGTCCGGGGTAAAAGATTCTCTCCATACGAAAAAATTTCCTTAACAAGTCACTCACAGAACCTTGTGAGCCTTCCCGTAGTATCTGTTGATGAATGGAGCCTGCAAAGCAAGTTGAGAAACAAAAGGAAGTTAGATTTTTAGTTCAAACAGTGCCATTTACCATAATCATGAGAAATCCACCAGAGGAATAATATTTGGAAATAATAGACTAACAAGGATAAGCACTATTCAGAATTTGATGACTTTGGCCGCAAGGATTAGAGGTTAAAATAAGAGCACGGAGAACCAATTGTCGAAAAATAAAAAATTCAGGATACAACACACTAAGAGCGTCTCCATTGCATTCCATGGATTGCAATCCAAGTGGCATCTAAATAGAAAGGCTTCCGGTCTACATCACATTAGTATTTAATGAATAGACAACATAGTTCAAATTTCATCTCCAATGAGTTCACCTATAATTCAAATTTTATCTCTGTACGAGAGACAAAAATAATAAACATGAGAGAAATAATAATCATGAGAAAAAAATAAGAAATAGGACAGAGAAAGTGAGAATTATTAAATTATGATGACTCACTCCGTCTAGAAGAGCCTCTACATTTAGACGGTCATCTTGACAATGTCTACTTCTTTCCTCGCCACGTCAACTAGACATAGTCTTAGACATGTTGCATTCGAAGAGTAACTTCTGTAGACATTGTCTATTTTAGCTTTATGTGGCAATCTTTTTAGTGCAATCCACATTAACACTAGAGATGCTCTTAAAACTAGCCAAATTTGTGCTCTGTAGTAGAGGCAATCAAGAAAGCTGCTCAAGTGAATATATAACCTGAAAAGTGGAAAGGGCACAAGTTGATATCTCCACCAACTGTGTCATGAATTTTACCAGGGAAATGAACAAGTTTTGTGGTGCTTATTTTAGAACCTAGGATAAAAATGACGCCCAAATAGCTCATATATTGGATTATTCTCTATGGTTATACTCATCCTGGGTACATTTTTACCATGACATTTTTAGGATGCACCTTATACGTAGAACAGATCAGATCACAGGTTAAATCATGCGATCTTCAGTACCAAAAGATGAAACATGCCCAACAAGTATTGTCCAACTTCACCATGCCATATAATTTTAGAATTTGAAATTCCCATCGCAGTACTATAAGCAAAAGTGGTTTTCTCGGTAAAGCCACTTGCAACTCCTTGTATTTGATGCACACAGAGTATATAGGTGGTGAGGGAAATGAACTGAATACATATCATGAAGCCAGGAATTTTTTTTGGGCAGTATAACACGACTTTTCCTCCTCTAGAATGATGGTGATGAGCAGATATTTACCTTGACACTAGATACATCAGGAGTATCAGGAGTGGACACTGGATAAAATTTGTAAAATTTCATATTCTCAAATGCTGCCTTGGCTTCCGCGCTCATTTCTTCCAAGGCCTTTCTACAGGCTTCCCTTGCCTATACCAAACAAAAAGAGAAAGCAACATTCAACATGCAGTCAACAAGAACTTTGCTGCACTGAGCTCTTCAACAGCGTACCTCGCGGTTAGCATTTTTTGCTTCTCGAACTTTCTCTTTCAAAAAATCCTGAACCGTTCATAATCATATTAGTCAATTCAACTACAGGGATTTATAACATTGAGACATGAGCTACATGCACCATGTCATGAATGTTCACCTTGAAAGCATCTTTTTGATCTGCAGACAACTCTTCTTCCTCAATAAGCTTATCCGTGAACTCCTAAACATATTTTGATTTGATAAAGTCAGAGGATATCCCACTCACACAAATCAACATGAAGAAAAGCTTCAAATTGCTGGTTGTTCCAATACCCACTAAAAATCATTGATTGCAATGGCATACCTCAAGTTCATCAAATTCCCAATCAAACTCGCAGAAAACCTGAAGAGCAGAGTTGAAACTAAGTTATCTTATTGCCACAGTTTACCCGACTTCCTAAACTGATTCAACATGTGTTGGTGTTATATATGCCTTACAAGTGTGATGCGGACATCATTTTTATGGAATTTTTATTGTCTATTATTATTGGGTTGGCCCAAGCCCAATACTAGAAGGTTTAGGTTTTTACTATTTATATGGTTTTCACATTGTAATTTAGATAGACGATGATTATATGAAATTAAAACGGTTTTGGATTGCAGCCAACGAAATTTTTCCTTTCCCCAGATTTCTCCCCTTCCCTGTTTCTTCTCCGGTTCTCCCCCCCTTTCTCTCCGGTTTTCTTCCCCCTTTCTTGTTGCCTTCTCCTATCCTACATCAAAGTGTGCCTCTTCACCTAAGCGACATCTAAGATTTCTAAAAGAGTTATCCGCAAGTAGCTCATAATAATTAGAATGGAATTATGTATATTAGCCTATGGATTAGTATATTACAAAAAGAATCTTACTGGCTTGGGATCTATCGGAAATAAGATCTGAACCACCGTGCTCTGTTCGAGTTCATCTTCCTGGAGAGGCTGGTAGAAGTCTGCCAAAAGAAGAAAGACATCATCGGAGACACCAGTTACTGTCATACATTCTTCTAAGTGAAACCAAAAGGAACATAGATAACGAATTGTTCCCATGCTCTTCAACACCACCAGAATAATGGAATAACATAAATTATATGGTAAGCAAAAAATTGTTGTCCACACATAAAATCTGCAAACCAGATTTTGATTTACTCAAAAAGGAATCCTAATGATTGATACCAAATGCTTCTAAATGCATTAAGAATGTTTTCATGCTATACTAGAATTATGAAACAATCATTTGTTTTCAATATTAATTCTGCGTAAGTATTAGAGTTTGTCAACCCAGCATGTTTTCACAATTTACGGGATCGTGTTTGTCATACTATGTTCAAGACTTGAAAACCGACGGGGCTAAGAGACCAGTATAACCAAGACATCGCATAGATCTGCAAAATACACAACACACTTTTTCCAAAAGGAATTTAGTGAATTGTGAATCATAACCAGAGAAATTCTTGAAGCATGTCTCAAGTTATGATGTCCTGCAAGTTATATTAGCCTTGAAATAAATTATGAATTGACTTTTCAGTCAAAAAAGGTGAACAGAAGTTGGAGGAGAAAAAAGGGCATCAGAGAATCAAACGAAAAACACATTGCCGCTACTTTAAAGTTATAAATAGCATGCTCCCATGGGAAGATTTGGATTTTACGCAATGATATTACCTTTAGATCAGAATAGTATGTAACAGATGCAAGCATCCATCATTACAAGTACAACCTAAGAATGATGGTAAATAAACCAACATTTTCCATGCAGAAAAGCAGTGAGAACAGAATGCAAATTCAATCAGCAGAAAAATAAAACACTTAATATCATGTTGACCACCTGTGGCATGCAAAAAAGATAAAAAAAGAAAAAAATAATATTCTAATCTAGAAAGTCAAATAATATGGCTTAGTGCAATTACTATTAAAACTTAAGGCTATGCACTCCAAGAAGAAAGAAAATGTCAAAGCTTGGGGAGAACTATTAATTGAAAATATTACAGGTGCTTATGGAAGTTTCAGAGAAACGTAAAGGATTATGAGCATATTAACAGCACAAACAAGATTTCTAGAGGTCATTTCTATAATTTCGTGACCAATTTGTAAGAAAACAAGCAAGGAGAAACAATAGGTGCTAAGGGTTTGGAGGAATTTTATGGGTAAGAAAATACTAGGCCTCTTGTTCTAATACAATCAAGTTTTTGCTAGATAAAGAAATGGAAAGGTGCCTGAAATAATTTACAATAACGAGAATGTATTAGATACACAAATCTACTCGATTGAATTGAGGTGTAGGTCATTTCATGAATTCCTGAAAGACAGCAGAGAGTACCTGGCTCTCAAATAGACAGCATAGCAATTACTCCATTTGCATCAAATTCCTTCTTTGGATGCAAATATCAATTTCTAATTTTAAGGGGTTGCTCAATTGGACAGGCATTGGGTTTGCTGCCAGTGGTCACCAGTTCGAGTCCCCTCAGGGCCACTGAGGTGAGTACCCGACCGTAAACTTCAGGGTCCCGTGGAATTAGTCGAGATGCGCGCAAGCTGGCCCGGACATCCATGGTTATCAAAAAAAAAATATATCAATTTCCTAAGCACACTCTCAACTTCCATAAAAAAATAGGGTTAAGCATCTGTTTGAGCCCGATTTGTGGAGGAAAACTCATTTTTTCATTCACCCACTTCACATTACACTTCTTTAGTTTATCAGACGCTATAAAGGCAGGTTTGAACTCCATTTCTTCCAAGATTTGAGAGGTATGTTTTCATTTCTGAAAACGCCCCTCCAATTTCTTACGGCAAACAAAAACTGAGAATTGGAAAATAGGAAGGGTAAAATGGTCAATTTCTCTGGCATTTGAAAGGCAAAAATGGTAACCATAAATTTGGGTTGTCTAATCATGTCAAGACCATTTATCGTAATTGGAAGTCTGCAGAATATTTAATTTTATGAAACTGCATGAAATAGCAAAATCTGCCATTAATCTGATTTTAACTGCACCAAACAGACACTGAAGTAAACTCAAATAAAAAGGGAAAGTATAACACTCACAAGGTAAGCAGTACTCGAACTTCTTCACACGCTCCAACTTCAAATGTTTCAAATCGGCCCTGCAATGAAAGAATTTTAGAAATTAAACATAAATTTCCACTGATGCCCTTTCTTTCTCTCATAAAAAACACGGTAAAAAGTTACTGTAAAGAAAGGAAGTGAATCTGACTTTTACAAATAAAACCACTTATCAGATTTCAATTCCAGATATATAACAAATGAGCTAGCCAAAATCACAATAAAATTTATAAGACTACCATGCCGATGATAAATAAGATAATCTTAACTGTAATGTCAAACATACTTAATAAATGTAACCAAGTAACAAATACAAATAAACCATAGTACTCATGTAGGTCAAACCATGTTGACTGGTAATCTTCGTTCCCTATCACACACCAAATAGCCCAAATGGAAAAGAACATTTGACAACAAACATTCAAGGGGGAAGGAAATGAGAAGAGGAAGCAGGAATAGAATTGTACCTTCTCTGAGTGCAACTTAAAATGAAAATTTGGGATTCAAGTCTTTCAACTTGAGAATCCCTGTAAGCAGTGAAATGGCAGAAATGTCATCCAAATGAAGAAGGAAAGCAGAACATAATAAAACAAATGAGAGATTTAATACCTATTTTCCAATGGGATGTATGGAACCCAGTCCATTTTCATCTGCTTCATAGGTAGAATTTCTTCAGTCTCCCTCTGTACTGATTTAATGCCAATTTTGTCAGAAGGGGGAAAAGTTGACACCACCTGTTTAAAAGAAGTTATACATAAATTATCAGCAGCAAAGTTACATTGAATGATCATGCAGAACAAGGAGACTAATAACACATTTCATATCATGCAGATACTTCGGAAACAGATTCCACTTGACCATGGACTAAACAGCATAAAACCGTCACCATCAAACGACAGGCCATACCCAGAAGAAACAATTACCGAACTCCAAACTCACCCTTTTCCCAACAATCCTGCTAATCACAAATCAATTAGCTCCACAATTTTTCATCATATCTGGTTTTATAACTATCCGAGGTTCAATGTTTGCAACCAGGTTTGGACATTTTGACATTGTTTTTGAGATTGAGTGAGTGGTCTCTGTCTTCTAACTATTAGGGGGTGGAGTATATGGTTGATGGTGGCAGATCTTGGGTGTGATGGGAGCATAGCCAGTGGGAAGATAAGAGTGGTTTTTAAAGAAATCAAAATTTTCTAACTTTTTTTTGTCTGTCCATTTTAGGTAAGTGGCCAATGGCCATTGTTTTGGAACCAAACTGAAAGCAAAACAGAATGAGACAATTCATCCCCTGTTTGGCAATCATTAAAACGAAACGCTTTCTTCTCAAACTCATTTTCAACCACACATTCTCACAATAAAATATTTTACACATAAACCCAAAACTTTTTCATACTTCACAATCTTAAAAAAATGACTATTCCAAAACTCATTTTCCCAAAAAAATCATTTGAATACAGGGGCTCAATTTGAAACAAAAGGCGGGAATAGTAAAAAAAAAAAAAAAAGAATACAAGTATGACAAAAGTGGTTAAATATCTCATGTATGAGGGCTTACAGCAACCACAACAGGAATCATTGTAACTTTTCCTTGACCCTGGAAAGAGACCAAGTGCGCTGCAGGAAGAAATAAACAGTTATAAAGCAGCAAAGAAGGAGCAGGATCATAGATCCAAAAAATTGTGATCAAGACTAAGCAATATGTTAAGAAACCAATGACAAATACTAATTCAACTACCAATAAATTATAGTAGAAAGAGACAAAGAGGATCAAGTAGTTCAAGAAGAGCCAGAGAGGATACTCCTGCCGAGATACCTCATTAAGCACAGTGCGCTATTCACTTTGTTATATTAAACATAACTATAAATTCAAATTGCACAATGCATGTGATGTTGTCAAAGAGTAAATGAAGGAGCCAAGTTTTAAATTCCACTTACGCTCTGTACAACCAAAGAGGTAAACCTTTTGATTGTATAACAGCCCACCTTCTTCAAATGCATCCTGCCACCAACCCACAAGCAGTGTTAGCATCAAAATTCCAAGAAACTTTTTTTTTTAATTTCATAACTCTGCTCTCTGAAGGTCTAACTAGAGCAAGAGGACAGATAAACTTAAACCTAATTGGTGAAAGTCAAATAAGGGGAATTAACATTAGGGAACTCACTTCTAAATTAGAGAAGTTCCACTTGTATTGATACACCATGTCCAACTGATCCCACTGGCATCCGAAAAAGATAAAAGAAATCTCAGGAAAATATATAATGTAAACTCAGGAGAACTAAAATTGCACATGAAATCTTCATGGATGCACAAAATTTGAGAAATTTATTAAATTCTAACCTCCGTGCCAACTGGAAAGACCTGTTGCCATAGGTCTTCCTGCACAATGTCATTGTAAAAATATTAATAAACAAACTTCCATAAATTATTCTTCAGCGTGTTCCAATTTTGATGAAAATGAATCAATTTAACACAACTTCATGCTACATATCTAACTTTTCCCTAAAATTTATGAAAATAATTACCAAATTCCTCTTGTCAGGAAAATACTCCTCCTCAGCCTCAGGCTTCGAAGTCCTGGCTCTCTTAGCTCTACCTTTAGCAGCTTTCTTATTCGGCTCCTCATCCACTTTCTTGCTCGGCTCCTCCTGAGCTGGCTCATTTAGCTCTATTTGATTCTCTTCAGCCGGCTTTCTATGCTCGTCTTTGCTTCCCTCAGCCGATTGGCTGGGCTCATTCTTCTCATTCCCCTCAATCGGCTGTGTCGGCTCCTTGGAAGCTTCGTCCTTGTGAGAAGTCTTCCTCTTAGCACCTCTTCTCATCGCGTGTATCTGTATAGATCTTTAGACAGATAAATTAGATTATCTAGGGTTTGGTTTTTTTACACAAATTTGAATTCACCGGAGCAGAAATCTGGCGGAAACAGGCGGATGGGTAAGGGTCAATTTTGGAGTTAATTGTTTCATTATTGGCCACCGAACTTTACCCATCATCACGGACTACCCATTGAACTTTACAGCGCTTCTAAATACCCAATGAACTCATCTCCGTTTCCCCTAAATGGCCACTGAATGGATTCCGTCCGTGAAGAACCTGACGTGGAAGACGGAATGCTGAGTTGACTGTTAAAAATGGTAACCTACAAGACACGTGGGCGAAAAATCTCCGAAACAGCCCTTACCTACAGTGAACAAATGAACTCGTTCTCCTGAAAACGGTAGCCCTAGCCCCCAAATACATTCCAATCACAAAATCAACTCCTCCACCTTCGAAATTTCTGCCCATGGACCTCAAATCCGGAAACTGCAATCCCCAAATCTAATCCCCAAATCGAGCTCGAACTGAAAGGGGAATCAATTTTTATGGTTTTCGGCATCGGTTTGCAAGGTTTAGGGAAGGTTGCTAGAGCAAGCTTGACTTCACGACTTTTAGAACAGTTATTATGAATCTCAGGTCAGCATTCACTCAGACACGAGTTGAGCTACGGTTGAAAAGTTTTCTTATATATAAACACGATTATGTAAAATAAATATTTGCCATTCATCTACATTTTCATTTTCTTGCCCAGTGACAACAAACATTGAAATATGTTGACGTATTTCTGAATTAGTTGTTGATTTGTGGACGATAATTGCAAGGGAGAATGGGCAAAGTTTGTTTCTATAAAGACCTTGGCTTCATAGGATGACCGTCAACTCAAGTTCTTTTTAGTCTTTTGGAGGATTTCATTGTTTTCCAATTCTTGAGATTTTCTGCATGAAATTGCTTATTTTAAGCTTTATCTTCATTCAAATATTCTATGCTTGGAGGTGAATAAGCTTTATAGTCGAATAACTCTTACACTGTTTGTCGTGTGCAAACACACCCAAACGTTTTACATTTGTTGAATTCATTACAGAAATGAAGCTGTTACTTATGAGACATAGGTTAATTGTTTGAATTTGTGTCGTGAATACAACAAAAAACTGTAGGATGGCAGGCAGAAACAAGGGTATTTGTCATAGCCGTAGGATGCGTGGGCACACGTTGCCGGACTGCCCGACAAAGACACGATGTCGAGAATGTGGATTGGGCTATGTGAAATGTATAGAAGTAGAAAAGAAGACAAAAAAACATTGGTCGGTTATTCTTCTGTTGTACTAGAGATTGTGGTTATTTTCAGTGGTTTGATAGTCCATCGTCGTTGCAAGAAACACGTGCTCAAGTTGACGCTGAGTCCAGCGTTACAATGAAGACAAAAGATCCAGTTGAAGATTTGTCAAATTTATTGAAGACAACCGTTCAGTTAAAAGATGAAGAACAATTGGAAATATCTATCAACATAACGATTCGTAAGGGACAATGAGCTACCGAGGGCAAAGGGAAAGGAAATGAAAGAGTTCCATAATTTTCTTCCAACTATCTAATTGTATGGACGATGCACGTTGTAGTCTGTGCACTTAATGCACATGTAATCGACACTAGTAGCATCTCATATATGTCTCGATTATGTAGCAGTTGTCAACGTAATCCTCAGGTTCATTCCTACACTCTCTTCTGACGGACATTGCGTGGATGCACGGAACCCCAGTGAGTTCCCATTCTCTACAGGCACATGTTCGTTCTTGAAGATCGACAACGTACGTTCCAAAGCTGTAATCAACTTGCCATTTAGGCCCTCCAGACAAGTGCAATGTGCATTCTCGAGATTTCACCACAATCTTGTGAAGTTTTCTCTTGATCTTAGGGCACAAACGACCAGTACATCTCATCATATTATCTCGACGCTTACGGATCCGAGTCATGAAGGTTAGTTGAATAGAAGTAAGCATCGTAATAATCATCTTCTCCCTATCACTTGGCAATGTCTTGTTGAACACTTCGCAAACATTATTCAAACGGATGTCGCTCTTTACATGAATGGAGAAATGAGACCGACTCCATTCTTGTGGAGGCTTTTCCATCAACCATTTGTATGCTTCTTCGTTGAGTTGCCTGATTTGCTGCATCCAATGTCGATAGTCAGCAACAGTTGTCGACTTTGCAGCATGCCATAGGTAATTTTTCAGAATTTTTCCCTTAAATCCGTGGTTGAAGAAGTTCTTATACATATGTCGTATACATAATCTATGCTCAGCCTCAGGAAACAACTCATCTGTTACATTCTATAAACCTTTTTGTATGTATGTCATCAATGTCCAACCTCTACAATTGTCAATCCCAATGTCATATGCAAGATACTTCATAAACCATCTCCAAGTGTTCGTGTTCTCTCTTTCAACAACCGCATATGCAATCGGATAAATACAATCGTTAGCATCAAGTCCAACTGCAGTTAGCAATATTCCACCAAAACAACCACGTAGGTGACAGCCGTCAACTCCAACCAACTTCCTACAACCATACCAAAATCCTAATTTACAACAGCTAAAACAAATGTAGATCCCCTGAAACACCTGTTGTTGCAAAACGATAATCACGGTAGACCCAACATTGGTTCGTAAAACCTCCGCTGCGTAAGACCTCAAAAGCCTAAATTGATCTTGTATAGTCCCTACCAACAACTCTTTGGCATATCTTCTCATCTTCCATGCTACATTTCGAGTAATATCTATACAAAAATCATTTTTCATCGTCGCCAAAATAAGTTTTGTCTTCCATTCGGAGTCTGCCTTGAATTGTTCAATGTACCGTTTGGTTAGAAATACATAATTGAAATTTCTGTTAAATTGGTCGCGACTACATGTATGCTCCGCTGTGTAGGATTTCACCTGTAGTCTCTTAGAAGCATCAAATGCAAATGCCCATATCCTCCATGTACACCCGAGTTTGCAAGCCCCTTGAACTCTTCTATCTTCATTTACCTTAAACTTCACATTATATCCATACATTGCACCATATGTCCTCACTACCTCTCAGAACTCAATTACAGAAGTAAATAATTGTCCGACCTCAAAATGTGGATTCTTCATTCCTGAATCGAAAGAAAATTCAGAAAATCAATAACCACTCTCTTCGTCAGAAAATTCAGAAAATTGACAATAGCTCTTCTGACGAAGGATATTCCAAATCATCTACTTTAATATCAATACCCTTTGTCGGTTCATCCTCCACTCCCCTATCACATCCATCCAACCCCGCTTCAATTCCATTTGTCACATTTCTGTCGTACAATACATCATCGTCATCAGATGCAACGTCATTATCAGAATCTATGAAATTTGGATCCTCAACATAACATGTCACAAAATCAAATAGCTGCAATTAGAATTGAAACCTTCAAACGAAAAAAACTCAGTGTCGGTCAAAATACAAAAATTAACACCATTGCCATTGGAATTGAAGAATATAAAGTTTAACAAGTGGAATGTAAGAAATCATTCTTAAGTCACGATTGATGTTAATGGAGAAGTGGGAGTTTTCTTTTTGCCATTTGATTTCCTCAAACTGTTGCTATTTGTAATGCCAAATAGCACGCCTTCACATTACGCACGCCTTCACAGTACGACACAAGAGAAACAACATTGTGAAAAAATTACCTTCACTTTCTTCATCATCCATGTGCAAGCTTGCTCTGCCAACCTTCCCTAAACCTAGCAAATCGAAATCTGTGTTCGTAACAACTTACTGGGGATGCCGGAAACTGCAAAAATTGATTTCCTTTTCAGTTCGAAATCGATTTGGGGATTGCGGTTTCCGGATTTCAAGTCCATTGGCAGAAATTTTGAAGTTGGAGTAGTTGACTTTTTGATTGGATTGTATTTGGGGGCTAGGGCTACCATTTTCAGGATGAATGAGAACTCGAATTTTGGCCATCTCATTAACGAGTTCATTTGCTCACTCTAGGTAAGGAGCTGTTTGGGGGATTTTTTACCCACATGTCTTGTAGGTTACCATTTTTAACAGCCAACTCAGCATTCCGTCTTCCACGTCAGGTTCTTCACGGACGAAATCCATTCAGTGGCCATTTAGGTAAAACAAAGATGAGTTCAATGGGTATTTGGAAGCACTGTAAAGTTCAATGGGTAATCCGTGACGATGGGTAAAGTTCAGTGGTCAATGAAACAATTAACTTGTCAATTTTGTGTGTTTATATATACCGTGATGATATTTATGCGCGTGCAAACTACGCGACTGGAAAAAGGAAGAAAAATCCAGGCACGTGTTCTTCATTATTTTATTTTTCACCCGTGATTCCGTCGTTGCTAAATATATAAGGATTGCATTTAGCCCTGCATTTTTTTTTCACGTATTCAATCTCAATCATGTATTCCTACAATAACATATTCTATACGTAAATTCAAAAAAAAATTCTTACATTTTAACCACACATTCTCTAAAAATTTATTATTCAAAATAATATTTTTCTAAAAAAAATGGCAACCAAACACGGGCTTAATAAGTCATATATTTCAGTACTTTACTTTTTAAATTATTAAAATTACGTTTAAATTGATTGATCGCTGACATATAAAAATTATGTTAAATAAAATATGAAGATAAATCAATAAATATTTTTTGAGAAAAGCAAAATGAAAAAGTTAAAATAGAAAGCATTGTTGGAATGCATAAAATTTTTTCGTCTCTAAATTTATAGATACTCTCTACAATGCATAAGATACTTTTTATAATAAAGGGACCCTTGAACAATAGGGATATCACGATCCGAGCCGGCTCACGAGTCGAAACTCGAGGCTCGGGTTCGACTCAATTAAAAATGATTCGGGCTTTTACTTTGGCCAAAAAATTTAGGGTTGACCTGCCGAGCCAGCTTACTGTTCCATTTTTTTTTAATAATAACAGGCAGCGTGTACTGCTGCCTGCTAAACATAGACAACTATTGCTTGCAAGCTGCCTGTGCAAAAGTAGGCAGCTAGCTTTTTAATTTTTTTAAAGGCTCGGCTAATCACGGGCCGAAAATGGCCCATGATACGAGTCGACAAGTGTGGCTCGACAAGCCACACGGGAGGGCTCGGGCTCGAGCCTACGTCCTAAAATTGGGCTCGGCCCGATCCTCAGCTCAGTTCTATTGTGCCCAGCCAAGCCGGCTCGGGCCTTTGTCTAACCGAGCCATGGGTCGCTCGAGACGAGGAGCTAAATTGACATCCCTACTTGAACATACTTTGATGTACTACAATTACACTCTTTGTTAGTAATTCTACTACTGATCCTAGCCTATTGCTCTGCTAGCAAATTGGTCTTAAGTTAATCCTTAAGTTTCTTTATAGTTGCACTATCAATCTACAAATTTGGATTAAGTCATGTTTGCTACAAATTTTAAAATAATTAAGACATGGAAAATTTTGTTTTCATTTTCTTAGACATTGAAAAAAATTGAAGATGAATGCTTTTGATTGTACAGGGATTTACCCAAGTGAGATTGGAATCCATTATTAGGCAGGACAAAAGCAAAATAAACGTCCGAATCAGGAAAATTAATGCAACCTCAAATACTATAAACTTATAAAGAAGGTTAATGTGAAGAGTTATAAATATTTTCAGTACATTAAAAAAAATATTTTTAGTAAATATTCGGATTTATATCTCCTACTTTATTAAAAGTGTCAATCCGCAGTCTACTGTTCATATATGAAGCATTTTTGTTTTCCCTATTTGACCTCTCAATCCTATTTCCTATTTTAATTATGGGAATATTACATATTCAAGAGTATAAGTTTAGTCTATTTCAAAAATAAGAACACAAGTTTAAAGTTACCAAAATCAGATTTTTTTAAATTTTTTTTAATTTTTATTTATGAAATAATAAATTATTAAATTAATTTATTATTAAATATTTAATTATAATATAATATAATTAACCCATCACAAATAATATAATATAATTAACCCATCACCGTTCCGACGAGTACTTCGATTCCGGCGACCGTTCCGGCGTCGATTTTTCCGGCGACTGCTCCGCTATATTTTTTTGTACGGTTAACATTTTTTTTTACGGTCACAACCCAGGTCACAAAGTCACAAGTCACAGCCTATGTCAGAAGTCACAGCTCAGGTCACAAGTCAAGAGTCACAGCCCATGTCACAAGTCACAAATCAAGTCACATGCCAGGTCACAAGTCATAAATCAAGTCACAGGCCAGGTCACAAGTCACAACGCATGATTGTTTGTTTAATCACATATTTTCAAATTTATTAGTTAATTTTTAATCACAAATTGTCCAATTTTTAAGGTCACAGTTAATCTAAATAGTTGGTCACATACACCACAACCATCATAGCCCCCATCCACCACCATGAGCACCACCACCACCACAGCTCCCATCCACCACCAACTAAAAACACACCCCAAAACCCACAGATTGTGGAGCTGCGATCTGGACATGGCGCATAGACCAAAACCAACACCACCACCAAGATCCACTACCACCACCATAGCCACCACCATATCCAACATAACCTCCACCAAAGTTGGATCCAACAAAATCACAGCCGCCCAAACACCACCACCATGGGCACCACTACCACCACAACCCAACCGCGACTCCGTCGCGACCAAATTTTCCCCATATTACAACCAACAAAAACTCAGACACCAGACTGTAGCCAAAATTTCCCCAAATCCCCCATCATTCACCGCCGCAGCGGTGGCCCTCATTGCACAGCAAGAACTGTTGCAGCGTGACCTGAGTGCAGCACCGTTTACACCGTGGATAGCTACGATGTGCCGTTCACACTCGGTCTCGTGGAGGCTGACTTCAGACAGATAGCGACGAGTCTGGAGAGTGGAGGAGAGAGAGTGGCGGAGATGAGAGAAGGTAGAGAGAGTGAGAAGAAAGATAAGAGAGAAGGATGGGGGAAATTAAAGTGAAATTGATTAGGGTTTCCATTTATTCAAAGACGTAAAATAAGGAAACAGTTATTATTTTTTAATATAATTAATATACCAAAATTTCTGATTTTGGTAATTTTAAACTTCCAATCTGATTTTAGGTCCCTGTTTGGTGCACCTTATTTCCCAAATTGTAGAAAAATTTTACCCGTTAGCAACAGTGACGACTGACAGTTTGCAGGTCATTTACTCCACTTTCACCCGTTACCAACAGTAATTGCCCATTCTATCCTCTCCCTTTTCCTCACCTACCCTTCTCACCTACCATCTTCCTCCACACAACGACGGTGCAGAAGAAAAAAGGGGCCAAGCTTCTCAAGTGCAGAATTAATACACTACAACGCAGGGACAAGCTTCTTAAGTGCACCAGGTATTTCTGAAAAATTACTCAGCACTACCTTGCGACCCCGCCGTCTTAATTTTGTTTCGAATAACCAGCAGCGAAGATCACGAGTAGCTGTCGCTTTGCTCACGGTGTGAAGATCAGGTTCTCCCTTTCGGTCTGCTGCAGATCCGTTGGAGTCATAGCATTTTCAGGCAAGTATTCCTTCGTTTTTTAGAAGATCGGATATTTCTAAACGGTCCTACAGCTCGTAGTTCAGTAGATGAAATTTGTGTAATTGATGATAATACATGTTCCGGTTAATTCGTTTCAGCACTTTGATTCATGTAACTAGATGAAATTGATGATTCTCTGCATGACCATAACTGTGGAGCGTTCCAACGCTTGTTGCCAAATTTATCAGAATACTCAATTTTCCCCTTTTTCACAAAACAATCGATGTCCAGAAATGCATTTCTTGTGTCAGTCGATACTTTGGATCCGTTATTGCATTACCCTGACTGTTAATAACAGTGGTTCATTTGGTTGTTGCCACCTGAAATTTTGCCTTCTCCTCATAAAAATCAATTGGTAGTTGCATTTGAAGAGTGTTCACTTGCTGCAGGGGACGAGACTTCGACGAAGAACAGGCTGGTTTCACACGTTCCAATTGAAGGGGACGAGATTTCAACCAACATCAGCATTCCATAGCCATGTTCCCATTCAATTCACAGGTATTCCTTTGATGGGCACACCTGATTTCTTTTCGTTTTCGGTTTCCTGTTCTTCCTATGGTTGATCTAAATCTCCCTGCAGTCAGCGAACTACAACCAGGCTGGTTCGTCCATTCCAGTTACCGATTCATCCACTGGTGAAGCGTCCAAAAAATATGCGAAATGGCGAGAAGCCAAGAAACGCTGTTTCATAGTCGCCTGTGAAACTGCTATCGCCGAAGGGCATCGACATGGCAAGTGTTTCACGAAATTTGGCTGGGATCGTGTCGTCACCTTGTTCAACTCCATATCCGGCCACAATTGGACCAAAGTTCAACTTCGTAACTACTGGGATGCAATGCGTCGGGAGCACAAAAGGCTTTCCGAACTACTGTCTTATACCGGGGTTGAGTACAACCCATCCATGGCCGTATAGTAGCATCCGAGGAATGGTGGAACAGGAAAATAAAGGTACATTTGGCCCCCTCGCTGTATAAGTTATTTGTGCTTGAATAAATTGGGGTATTTCTGTGGCTGCAGGAAAATAAAGATTACAAGGATTTCAATGATAAAGATATCAGTGATATCTACTTCAAATATCAACAGCTTTTCGGATATAGCTACGACGGGGATAGGTACGCAGTAACCCCCACGAAGTTGTGTAGTACGGGCTTCGGTT